GAGGTGTAGTTAGGGGACATCACATCCGGGTGCTCTGCCTGGGGCTTCTAAGGGCTGAGAGCAGGGACAGACACTGATTCTGGGGAGGAGAGCTCCTTTCGCCTTCATCGATGTGACCTTGGTTCCTGGCTGCCTGGCCCTGGTCCCCTGCCAACCAGAGTCTGCTCCCCTCAGACTCAGGCTCTTATCTGCATAGTCCCAGGAGATAGAGCTGACAGGGCCTGACTGTCCTCCACCCCCAGCGCATCCCAGGGCTCAGGGCCAGGGCAGGGCAGCTTAATGTATCCAGCTTCCTGGCAAAGGTCTTCCTCAGTCCTCCCTGGCCATGTCACCATTACTCCCAAGTCAGCCGTGCCCTCTGAACTCCTCACACCTGAAGAGCAGCCATCAGAACAAGCCTTCCCCTACCTCAGGCCACAGGGAGAAGTCGAGTCCCTGGACACACGTGCTGCAGTGTACGGGGTTTCTGCCCTGCACGGGGTTTCCCAGGGCTGGCAGCAAGGACAAAAGTCGATTATGTATCCCTGCAACACTGACAAACCTACCTTGCTCAGGGATGAGACCTTGGTTCTGGGCACTGCCTGATCCCTGACTTGAGCTGATTCTCTCAGACAAGGCCCTCACGTCCAGGAGGCAGAAGTGAGGGGTGGGGGGAAGGGAGGGAAAGTGGGGAGAGATGTGGAGAGGTGTGGAGGAGGTGAGGGAGTGCTGAGGGCGCTCAGCCTGAGGGTTCCCCATTCCCCATGGCCCAGGACACATGGTAGGCAAGGCTACATTATTCTCGGTTCCGATTCCCTAGAGCGATTCCCTAGAGCGGGCCTCCCTGGAGCGGGCCTCCCTCCATCCTCACTCGTCCTCTCACCCTCACCCCTACCTCCCTCCCTGGCCCTCTCCGCTCCCCTCACCTGAAGCACAGCCCTCAGGACAAGGCCTTCCTCCCCTCAGACCATGGAGGCCCAGTCAGCAGACCCCTTCACAGCCCAGCGCCCAGTCTGGGCTTCCCAGGGTTGATAACAGGAGCAGAAGCCAGTCCTTTGAGGACCCCTCCTTCCTCCCTCCTGGAGGTGACGTTGGTTCCAGGCTCTGCCTGACCCTGACCTGAGCCTGCTCCCTCAGACAGGGCCCTCACTCCCAGGAGGCAGAACAGAGGGGTGGAGGGAGTGAAAGTGGGGGGAGGTGTGGCGGAGGTGAGGGAGTCAGGAGTCAAAACTGAGGGGAAGTGGGGTTAGGTTTGGGGGGGATGTGAGGGAGTGCAGAGGGCCCTCACCCTGAAGGTTCCCAACTCCCCATGGCCCAGGACTCATGGTGGGCATGACCAAGTTATTTGGGCCCGACTCCCTGGAGCGGGCCTTCCTCTGTCCTCCCTCGTCCTCTCACTCTGACCCCTACTTCCCTCCCCGGCCCTCTCCGCTCCCCTCACCTGAAGCACAGCCCTCAGGACAAGGCCTTCCTCCCCTCAGACCATGGAGGCCCAGTCCACGGACCCCGTCACAGCCCACTGCCCAGTCGGGGCTTCCCAGGGCTGACAGCAGGGGCAAAAGCCGGTCCTTTGGGGACCCCTCCTTCCTCCCTCCTGGAGGTGACCTTGGTTCCAGGCTCTGCCTGACCCTGACCTGAGCCTGCTCCACTCAGACCGGGCCCTCACTCCCAGGGTCTCAGGAGGCAGAAATGAGGGGAAGTG